GGTTAATCCGCCCCCGGATAATCGAGAGTTGACTGTATATATATAAATTTCTGTACCAATTCCTGCCAGACACAACAATTCACCAAATAACTCACTCACACTCTACTGTGTACAACTGAGTCTTTACAAAATAAAATGGAAAAATGTGATGTGCTTCTGTCACTTTTCAATTCACCTTCATACACACAGATTATATAGATGTATTCCAAAATCCAAAACAAATGTCTAAACCTTATTAAGAGTCTTAAAATATTAAAACAAAGTATTAAAAATACTGAATTATTATTACTATTCACTAGAGCCCTTTGTGGGTCTTCGTCTTCGACTGCTCTACAAACTTTCTCCAGCCATCCCCTGCGTGAATCCTGGTTTTCCAGTTAACTACACCCAAGTTCCTCAAATCCTTCTCCACAACATCTCATTCCTCATGCCTGATCTACTTTTCTTCCTTTTCCCTTCCGGTTTTACAAGCACTCTTGTTTTTATCATTTCTCCATTTTCTCTCCTCAGTAATATCTGCTCTGTAGTCAGAGAGGACATCTGTAAGCAACCTAACGCAACCTGGTCTAAATGGCGATAGTACATTCCAAGTAAAAAGCCATGTATCATTAGATCTTTCCACATTGCAGTGTCGTCTTAGAGTGGTCTGGCCAGCTGTTTCTTGAGCTTTCTTAACAAGTGATTTCTACAGTGCAGGGTTGTTAACCCTGCACCCAATCCCCAGGAATCCTAAGGACAAATGTTTTCTGTTGGGGTTATCTCCCCTAGCCGGCTTGTCCCAATTGTGGGGCGACAGGAATTTGCCCTGTCACCTTTGCATGACTTAGCGTCACCCAGGAGTCACGACAAGAAATTGCATGCACTGGACTGAGTACGAATAAATGGCATTTCTAAAGTTTTAATGATATTCATCTGCCAGCAGAATTAGTACCCTTGAGGTCACATACTACACCCTTCATTTCTAACAAAAATGTTTCACTGTAAACTTGTACTGACTCTTTTGTATCCAGACCGCATTAGAACTTTCTTCATAGCCACAAATTTATTGCCTGCCTTCTTGTCCCTGGCTTTGTACACCTCACTGAAAAGAGAAATTATATAGTTAGTAACTTACTGGAAAGATGGCATATGTAAACTGTTATATTTATTCATAATTTTCCAAACAGTAATGCAGGAAAACAAGAATTACCACTTCTTCTTTAAGTGGACAACAGCAACAGCTGAGCCATTAAATCTAGGAATATAAATTATGCTTCATTATGATATCAATATACATACCTTAGAATGCCACGAAAATGTTTATGCTGAAATAAAGCCAACATTTTGCTCTCCTTTTTTTTTCTTTCTTTCTTTAGGGGCAGGGATACAGTTTGCGTGCCTTAGACCATCACGACACAGCAACAGCAGAATACCATACACAAATCATTCATAAATGTCCCTATTAACTCTAAAAGCTCGTGATATGCACCTGTTCTCTATATGCCAGAGGAACCACTGCGACCAAAAGAAGAGCTCCTCTTTTATTTACTTTCTCCACTCACCCCCACCCTTTTCTAAGTGGATTATCTAACAACACTTTCCATTACTTGTAAGACAGAAGACCTCTGAAGATTAGTCTCATAATGCAAACTGAACACTCAAAAAAACCATTACAGAATTCTGACACTTCATCAGGCCTAACAATTAAAAGCACTGTCATGGAAAGTGTCCAAGCATTTCTACAGATGAGATTAGAAAGAACTATGTTCTACTAATTAAAGGCACAAACAAGTATAGCCAAAAATAGGCTTTCTAAAGCAAACTCCTCCTATATAAAACAGTACTCAAACCCATATGGATCTGTGCAATTCAGCTATGGAGGGCAGCCACCGATTCCAACAGCAAAATCCTCCAGCGCTTCCAATCCAAGACACACCGATCCATTCTGAACACATCTTGGCACATAAACAACCACAGGATCCATCAAGATCTAAAAATAAATGCAGTTCTCAGTGAAATAAAGAAGTGGAATACCAAATACTTAAAGAAAATTAGAAAACCACATCAACGCGCTAGCAACAGCGAAACTACTAACTCTACAAGGCAGATGTGAGTGAAACCCCAAAACAATAATTAAAATGATGCCTAAGTGAACTAGAAGAAAGAATATATGGGTTATGCCACTCAGCATAACTCATTCACGAGCCAGTACCTATTGAACACATACATTTATTGCAGATTATGTATAACAAATGAGTGAAAAAGACATACGGCTTTTCTGCAGTCTTATAACTGCAGCATCAAGGGTTAGGACAAGGAAAAAGGAGCCAGCCAACGAATTTCCATCATGAAATACTATAACAAGGAAAACATAAAGGGTTATTTATATATGCAAATCTCTAACTGAAAATGTGTTAAGGAAAGGAACAGAAAGTTGTGAGAGGAAGTGGCCACATACATTCCTTCTTGTTTAGAAATAAGGAAAGTTGGATAAAAAAGGAAATTTAAGATAGGAACTGTAGAGGAGGTTAGAAGACAGCAAAAGAAAAGATAACAATTACTTAAGACTCACCTTTCAGCTACAAGATTGGTTACACTGTCAGAAGTAACTGGAACATATCTAGTTCCAAAATATTGTATTTTGTGAAGAGCTGGTTCATTTTATTAATTCCAGTATTCAGTACAATTATGACATAAAGCATGAATATTGTAAAAATTAATTAGAAACTTAGAACTGATGCAGAATTCAATGGCAAATGCATCTATAACTGTCCACCAACATATAAATTAATTTTGCATTTTATTTAGAATTAGTAAAAACAGTAGTAATAGTACTGATGATATCAGCAGCCCAGGTATGCTCAAGAACACTTCCCAATACATAACACATGGGATATATACGTATACTGTGATATTAATGATTTTCACAGCAGCACAAACTGCAGAGCACTATTTTATAGCGGTGCTATAACCTACAAAGTAGGCCATATTTTGCAGTAATTAGAGAAATGTTCGATTCTTTAGACACCGTTTCAACTATTAAAAGAGAAGTCTCACTAAGTGCTCTGAGTTTGCGGACGAAGTATAAATTGTCCACTTTACCAAAAACTTGCTATTTTACGAAAACACTGTAAAAATTAAGAGTGTATCAACTTATTTCCACATTAATTTTAAGCATCACTGAATACTTATTAATGCAGTATTATTAACTATCCACTCTGGAAATTTATCTAATCGTATGCTTTTACTGAGAGAAGCCAGCCAGCCCTTGAACATTAAACTAAAGAACACAGAAAATACAAAACGTAATATTTCCTCAATAACTTACCCATAACTGCCTTCTCCTATTTTCTCCAGTACTTCATATTTAGTACCGTCCTCGCAGCTGGGAAAGTCAAACTCTCTACGCTTCCTATACATGATTATTTAAATCTTCACAGAGTTCAACCGCCAAAGCCACACTCTCTGAAACACTTAAAACAAGTTCAACCACCTCAACGGACATCGTCGCAAACATGAGAAATCTTCATCTGCGCAGACCACTCCTGCCATCTGTTCGGATCACTTGTACTATCTGTACGATCTATACCAATCACACAACGGCAAGTTTTATGACGAGTAATATTTGAATTATTCAAATGATTCAAAGCGAATTCTTGAAAAATTGTGTATAACAGAGCAGCAAATTCGTTCGACATACAGCTTATACACATGATTATGGCTAGTGAGGCCGAAAAATGTAGTGTGGTATAATAAACGAACGAAGACGTGTGAACATTAATATAAAGTTGCGCAAAGACCAAGGGAATGGATAACACAAAATTACAATACATCCATTTATATGTACTAATACAACTATTGTATTATATTTGTCTGAAAGTCACAGAGCCCCTTACTCATGGAGCTGAGCCCTTCTGGAGGAGCTGCGAATTCTTAAGCTACTCAAGTATTTCCCAGCATTTTATGGAACCTGAAGGTTCATTACCATGTTCACAAGAGCCCTTCAGTGGTCCCTATCCTGGGCCAGATCAATCCAATTCATACCACCCCATCCTATCTCACTAAAATCCATTTTAATATTGTCCACCCACCTATGCCTTGGTCTTCCCAGTGGACTCTTTCCTTCTTGCTTTCCTGCCAATATCCCATATCCATTCCTCTTCTACCCCATTCGTGCTACATGACCTGCCCACCTTATCTTCCTTGACTTGATCATTCTTATTATACTTGGAGAAGAGTACAAGTTACGAAGTTCCTCATTATGCAGTTTTCTCCAAACTCCTGTCACTTCATCCCTCTTCTGTCTAAATATTCTCCTCAACACCCTGTTCTCAAAAACTCTAAGTTTATGTTCATCCCTTAATGTCAGAAACCAAGTTTCACACCCATACAGAACCACAGGCAAAATTATAGTTTTGTATATTCTCATTTTTATGTTTTTGGAAAGCAGACGAGAAGTCAAAAGGTTCTGGACTAAATGGTAGCAATAATTTCTGAGTTCAATCTCCTCTTAATTACCACCTGAGTGGGTTTCGATCTGTTATCGTTGTTCCCAAATATCTGAATTGTGCCATATTTTCAAAACATCTGTTTCCTATTTATACGTGTATATCATGATTTTGCCCCGCATTTAAGTGAAGAGACAGCAGCATATGGACTTAGTTTTCTCAGAGTTTTCTTCTACACCAACCTCTTTACTATCGTCAATTAAAGTTTGTGTGTAGTTCTTTATGGTATCTACATTATCACCCAGTATATTCACATCATCAGCCTAGACCAACAGATGATGTGTCCCGTTTAATTTCAGTCGCACCTGGTTTCCCTGGACCTACCTAATGGCATATTCTAAAGCAAAGTTGAAAAGTAGTGGCGATAAAGAATCTCTTTGTTTTAGACCATTCTGGATAGGAAATTTATCAGACAAATGTTTACCTACACAGACTTTAGTATACGTTTCGTTTAAACACACTTTAATCTGCCTAACTAGTTTCATGGGTATCCCAAACTCTATCAGAATATTGTACAATACTTCCCTCCTAATTGAATCATATGTTCTTTGAAGTCTATGAATAGCTGATGTACTGTCTCATCATACTCCCATTTTTTCTCCAATATCTGACGAATGGAAAAGATCTGATCTGTTACGTCAAAACCCACACTGATGATCCCCAATAATTTCATCTATATATTGACTTAACCCTGAGAAACAATATTGGATAAAATTTTGTATGAAGTTGATAGTGATATCCCTCGATAATAACTACAGTCAGTTTTATCACCCTTCTTGCGAACTGGTACAATAATAGACTCCTTCCACTGGTCAGGCAATTTTTCCTTATGCCAAATAGAAGAAATTAGATTGTCGATCTAAAATGTAATATTTCCCCTCCTGCTTGAATAAGTTCTGCTGGAATTTGATCACTACCTGTTGATTTATACCGTTTCAATTTTGCAATAGCACTTTCATCCTCAAAAGGGCTAGGATAAGGTACTAACGGCTCAGCTGTATGGGTTTCTGTCTGCCTAACATCACTGACCTTATGTACATTCAATAACTGAGAGAAGTACTTCCTCCACCTGTTCCAAATGTTGTCGGAATCTCCAAGCAAATCACCATTGTCATCCTTCACTAAGTTACTGCTAGGTTGGTAACCCCTCTTAAAGTCATTTATTCCTCTATACAGGTCTCTAATGTTCTTGTTCTTACTGTTCATTTCAAGCTTGTCAATTTTGTCTTTCAGATATTCCCTCTTTGTTTTCATGAACTGCCTGCTGGTTTCATGTCTTATATTGTTCAGATTACCCCTATTTAACTCACTTGGATCCTGTAACCATTGCACTTTGGCCTGCTTTTTTGATTTAATAATTTTGAGCATCCTTCATAGAACCATGGCTCATGCTTCTTCGTTTCATTATAACCTAGACCCTATTTATATCCTCTGTACTAGTTTCCCCAGCTTTATTAACATCCACCTCAGTTTCCAAGTTTTCCAAAGCCGCAAACATATTTGAGATAGAAGCACAATACTGCTCTTTACCCTCTACCTCATTTAATTTCTTGAGATTGAACCTCTCCATGTGAACTCTGTGTGTTGTTTGTTTGCTCACTGCCAGTCTCCCCAACCTTTGCCACCACCAGATAGTGGTCAGTATCACAATCTGCTGCCCTGAATGATGGGACATAAAGTATACTTGAGTGCCGTCTCCTATCTATCAAAATATGGTCTGTTTGATTGTGTATCTTCCCATCAGGAGATGTCCAAGTAAATTTATGGATGATACGATGTGGGAACATTGTACTTTTTTCAGTAAGATTTTTTGATGTGGCAAAGTCTATTACTCTAACTGTATTATCATTACTAATTTCATGCAAACTCTCATTCCGAATCGTTGGTTTGAAAATGTCTCCCCTCCCTACTTTGGCACTGAAATCTCATAAAAAAAAATGTCATATGGTACGTCGGGAATTTATCAAATACACGTTCTAGTTCTTCATAGAACCTCTCCTTTAAGTCATCAATTTTATCTTCTATTGGGGCGTGAACATTCAAAACAATGTTATCACACCAGTGACCTTTCAGTATTATATATGATATCCTGTCACTAACGAAGTCCACCCTCTTAACTGCTGATACGATTCTCTTTATGTATGAAAAACCTGTACCGAATTCATGACTTTCATTCCCCTTTCCATAGAAAAATGTATATTCTACTGCTGGTGCAATGCCACCTACATCCCATGTGACCTCCTGTACTCCCGCTAAATCAAACTTATATTTTAAGATTTCTTCTGCCACTGCCCTATACAAACTATGAACATTCCATTTTCTCCTACAATCACCTTACTTACTTACTTACTTACTTACTTAATCCACTACTCTTATACCTTATGGTGCTGAGGTTTTCATTTCGATCATTTTACAGACGGTAGGACTTCTTGGCAGAGTGATCACCTTGTCGCAAGGCCCTTACGTTAACACAAAACATACCAAACATCCATGCCCTGTGTGGGATTTTAACCCATGATCTCAGTTCAAAGTACATGCCTCAGACTGCCCTGCTACCATGACCAGCTCCTACAATCAACACTCCCAAAAAAACTGCTTACCTTTCCTGTAGTTTTTGACAGGATTTAAATTCTTTCCCCCATGAAAAATGAGACTTCCCTAATTCAAACCCAATTACAAGCTGTACAATTACCAAAACTTATGACAAAGGATGAGGGATTAAATCATACGAGCCAATCCTGAAGTTATTGGAAAGATGTTTTCGGTCACTTACCCTTCTACATGTAGAGAGCACAACAGTTCAACTGCAAATTTTTGCTGTGAGATGATGCATAATTGCAGAGTTTCAGAGTTATCTCATCTATGGACAGCCAGCATTTCCACTGAGCAAACCTACTTCCATAGTACTGCAGATGCAGAAGCATTGCAAGCTATAAATGTAGACCTGAGCATGGAAAAGGTCGAACAATACAGGACATGGGATGTGGAACTCCATGCATTCTGAACACTACAAGTTAACACCAGATTGCTTTACTTCTTCCATAGTCATCCCAAATCAAATTGACAGATAACGAGAATACACTTCCACATGCGTAAAATATTACTAGGATTAACTGACAAAACACAGGATGAGGATTAAATAATTACACAAATACAGTTACTTCACACTTTGTTATGATAAAATAAAATATCTTCCATACATTTCCTACAGGCCATGAACAATCTGCCACAAGAATGAGGGACCCTTACATCCTTATATAATGAAAGACATTTTTTCTCAAATAAGTTTTACTGTAAGAGATTCGTAACTTCACAAGCAACTGTCCATTACTATTCAAGTAACAAATTGGCTTCCCATTCTTAGCCAAATCAAGGAAAACTGAACAGTCCCACTTCATGAAGCAGTTTCTTTTTGCCTGGAACATAAGAAAATATACTGAATATGGGGGGGAGTCTAAATTCATCTTAAGCAGTGAAGTTACTACAAGTGCGCTGTCCCTTCTATAAAGCAGGATCCGACTTGAAATATATCTACGCTATCACACACCAGTATGTCATGCAGACAGAACAGGTGAAGGGTGAAAATTTTAAATTTCAACATTGCACTTTATCATATTCTTTATGGATGTACACTGTATTTCACAACAAAAACACAAATATTAAATGAGAACTGCGCTCAGCAAGACGATATTACTGTGACAATTTGAAACATAAATTCAGAGACCAATACCAAAATACCATATATATACTAAATACCAAAAATATATAACCAGTCTCCTCATCACCCCCTGAAATTCGTATTTTGGAAAACATCTTCATAATTTGTAAGGCACATTCAAAAATAGCATAAAACAAAGAATGTTTAACGATACAGACTTATTAGAAGTTAAAACCCTGTTTTTGTTCAACAATCTTCAAACTTAGCAATCTTCAACACTGTATTTAAGCATCCTGTTCAACTAATATACCTCTCATATACAATACAATTCTGTCAACAATGCAAATGGCCATTTTCAGGTGTCTCAGTTATGCGAAAACTGTTCCACTGTAAAGTATGTCCACTTACATCACCTGTAATTGCAATATTTCATGACTGAAAATATTGGATGTTACAATCGATGACCCATGATATATATGTATACAGTGTCCATCTTGCAGTGCATCCACTTTCACCTGTCTCTTCACAACATGTGAAGTGACTATAGTGCCAAAACATGTTGTGAAGTGACAGGTGAAAGTGGATGCACTGCAAGACGGGCACTGTATATATATCATGGACGAAAATCAGTGCAACAGGACACTAAAATACAACATTACTGATGACCCAGTTAACACTAGTTAAAATTCCATAAGCTGCAATTTACATTTAAATTTAAAATGTGTTGCAATTTTGAAAATTTCTTTTTACACCTCTGTTAGTGGCGTCATCCACTTGTCTAAACAATAAATTTCATTACCCCTCTCTTTGGATTTGTTATACTGTAGCAGCCTGGGTGCTCGCGCTTTATTTTCTGTGCATAAGCCCACTATTTTGGTTATCATTTTACCCCTAGCCCCTATGTTGTCTTGTTGTCTTCCCTTGCATGAGGATGTTACCAATAACATACAGACTAGAGGAAGAAAAACAAACACAACAACATGCCTGAGCAAAGGATAGGATTCATACTTCAATTCACAGAAAAATTTCCAGTGTTCTAAGATTTGGAAGAAAGTTGTTCACATGTAAATTTAACGCAGTACCAATACTGATTATTTTATATACCTTGTAGATCCCATCATGTATGACTCCAGAATGCAGGAAAGTTGTCCTTGTGCTTGCTTAAAGACCGCACCAAGTCTATGGGCAGCAGTCAGCTTCATGCACCAGCCACGTCAATGTACACATTCCAGAGTGTTGCGGCTCCCAGAGCACATGCAGACCTCATCATAATGATTATAAACAAGCCAGTTTTCCATACACATGACTAAGGCCATTTATTAAAAACACAACAGCCTTCAAATAAAAGTACTCACTCTTCTCCAGCTGCTTTACTCCACACTGAGTCGTCAGGTCCGATGCAGTACCAACCCACTCAACACTGGCCACCTGTGCCCTAACTAGAAGACATTTTGAACAACAGAAAATGCAGCTTTTCAAATATTCAGAGAGCCTCTGCCTTTTCAACACCAGCACTTATGATTAGGAATCTCACAAATCACAATAACACCACTCCTAAAACTTCTATTTAAAACCGGTACAATGACTTACTTGTGCAAAAAGCCACATCCCAGGAACACAATTCAATTTACCTCTTGTACAAGCGTAATCTTGCTGTCAGGCAATTTACAGGAGAAATGTTCAATATGTATTTTTCTAACAATCCAGCCCTCTACTGCTTTCAGTATGCAGACTGGAAGAAGATGCAAAGAAGTTAACGGGCATAAGGAACTTGAAGAGAGCAGTGCAGGATAGAGAGGAATAGAGGGGCTTGATAAGGGAGGCCAAGGCCCGACATCGGGCTCAAGAAGAAGAAGAACAAGAAGAAGGAGGAGGAGGAGAAGGAGGTGGAGGAGGAGGAGAGGGAGAAGAAGGAGAAGAAGAGGCAGGAGAAGAAGGAGAAGAAGAGGAGGAGGAAGAGGAAGAAGGAGGAGGAGGAGAAGAAGAAGAAGAAGAAGACGAAGAAGAAGAAGAAGTGTCACAAGTGACAGTAACAAATTTAACTTGGAACCACCAATTGACAGTAGGCTTTCTAAATATGGGAGTTCCAAGTTTAGTAGATGCGATCCATACCTATAGCACATACCATTATTATTAACTGTAAAATACGGATGTTCTGTACTAAACCTACATTCACTTCGCCGTTGTGTCTAAAAGAAATGCTGACTTCTTGTCGTCACAGTTCAAGGGGAAGTTGAGATTCCCTCAACCTGAACAGTACAAAAAATAAGTTTATTAGTCTACATTTCCTTATCTTCATTGGTTGCATCTTGTGTTTCAAAATATATATAGGAATTATGTCTACCGTCACCACAACATATAATCAGTTTAATATTTGATCTTTATTGCTGCTACGTTTCGGTCGTACAAGACCATCATCAGGCAGTTATACCCAAGAATACATATAGTCATTGAAAATACCGATATGGATCCTTATCGATGCAACACCACATCATGTTAAATACTAACATAAAACGTTTGCCTCATATTGGAGTTAAAAGCAGCATATAATTAAGATAAAAGATAACTATAATCAATAACATCCTTAACCTACAGCCATTACAGAATTCCCTAACCCATCCAGCAACCTGATCCATAACTAAATCACGATTTAATTTGCCATCATCACTCGAATCAATCCTATCGAAAACTATATGTTTTTGTGTGCAGAAGAGGGCACTTGGCATGATGACGGGTATTAGTAATAAAAACTCTTGTAGACAGTTATTTTAAACATTAAGAATTCTCCCTCTTCAATCTCAGTATATTTATTCTTTATTGTTTTGTGGTTGCTAACATGGATTCACAGAAATTTATATCAGATATACATAATAGAAATACAAGACAGGGTTACAATCTTTACCAACAATAACCTATCACTTACTTACCGACCCAATTCACATGATATTTGTTACTTAATATATACTTAATTTATACTTAATATAACTTATGCCCAGTCTTGCATCAACTGTTCTAAGACATCGCAATGAGCAATATGCCTTTCCTCAAAAGCAAAGGCAACGTTTAAACTTCTAAATGATATTTTACAGGCCTTAAATAAAAAGGAACTTGTGGGAGGTATTTTTTGTGACCTCGAGAAAGCCTTTGATTGCGTTAATCATGACTTATTAATGGAGAAACTGAAATTCTTTGGAATTGTAGGCAATGCATATGCTCTAATCAAATCATATCTCAGTGATGGGTATCAACAAGTCCTCACTGATGATAAATTAACACATTCTTATACTTTTTCAGAATGGGGGAAGATTAAACATGAAGTGCCCAGGGATCTATACTTGGACCAATGCTTTTTCTTTTGTACATAAATGACCTACCTAAAGTAGTTAATTATAACTCTAAGCCAGTTATGCTTGCTGAAGATACCAGCATTATTGTTAGTACTCCTAATTTAGTA